GTATCAACCAGATAAGATACATTTGGCCATGGCATTGCAAGTTTTCTGTCTTTTGTTTTTTTATTAATAGTGGGATTGGTTTCTAAACTAGAAGGTGAATTTAATACGGAGTTGAAATTGGCCTTTCATTCAAAACACAATGAAGATTAACTTCTCATTTTAATTACTAAATGTCAGAGAGTTAGTAGTCCTTCAGAAAGCTGTGGTGTAAAAAGTAGAATGTAGAGGCACATGGGTGGGTCAGTTGGTTAAGCGTCCAGCTTCATCTCAGGTCTTGAGTTTGAATCCCACATCAGGCTCACTGCTGTCGGCACAGAGCCTGCTTTGGATCCTCTGTCTCTTCTCTCTCTCTGCCCCTCCCTCACTTATGCCGGTTCTCTCTCTCTCTCTCTCTCTCTCTCTCTCTCTCTCTCTGTGTGTGTGTGTGTGTGTGTGTCAAAAATAAATGTTAAAAAAAGTAGAATGTAAATAATTAATAGCTTGAAAAAAGCTACTAGTTAAATGTAGAGAAGCTTTTAGTTTAGAAAAGGGATTGTCAAATTATGTTAAGTAGTGTGGAGTGTTGTCTGGGGATGATGAGAGCCATGTTTTGATATCCTTTTATGTCAGAAGATGGAATATTGGGACAGTAAGCCCTTAGGACTTTACCAGGCGCTTTGGGTGGAGGTTTAGCAGTTCTCCAGTGACCTGGGATCTGGGAGAGAAGGAGGAAGGTGTATAATTCTGTGCTTCCCCTGATACGTGGGTTAGAGCTGGTGACATCTGGAGGTGGAGGTAGAACAAGATGGCCCTGGGTCCAGAGTCTTGCGTTTCGGGTCCCCCAAGCAGGGGGGTAATGTTTGGGAAGTGGGTTAGGATGGGTCATGAGGAGATCTTCATTTCGACCCTGAGAGAAGTCAGACTTAGACCAGGAGCACCTTCAAGAGGTAGCAAGTAGTCTCATGAACTTTGTCAATGAAAATACTTTTCATATATTTCATTGTTGTTGAGACGGGCCTATTTCTGTAATACTGCTTTTCACGCTTACACCCCAGTTTCTACTGGAGGTGGGAGATACAAGTGGTGTGGCTTCCTATATTTCCTGTCAACTCTGAAACTTCTTTGGACTGCACCTGGGCAATGGGGAACATTTTCCAGGTCTTTCTGTAGAGCAAGGCCTCAAGTGCTTAGGGGACCCAGGGCAGCTTATAAACTCAGGTGCCTGTGGTGAAAGAGAAGGCAACATACACTCGGTTTTCAGAAAAAGTAGAACTTGGAGAAAGCTGTGGATGATAGTGAGTTGAGAGCTGAGAGCTTGTGTGTCCCTAAGAAAGGCTTGTAACAGGCTCTTAGCTCCCGCGGATTGTTTCCCCGTGTTTTGAAGAGATACAAAGTCACAAAAGTTTTCATTGTTAGGGGAGCAATTAAAAAGAAAACACACCTGTGGATCACATATGCTACCGGTGAAATCTAATAGAAAGGTGTTCAAAAGTGGCTCTTGACTTGGACTAAAAATCTCGCACCAAGAGGATTTCTCACATTTTAACCAAACTGCGGTTCTGTTGTGATGCATAATTGACACAGCTGCATGAAGTATTTTTTTAAACATAAAAGAAACCTTCGTGATAAGAACCAAGAAACAAAGAGAGCCCGAGCACCTAAGATGACCCATGAAAGGTGCTCACTGAGATGCATGTGTCCTGGAATGCTTGTTTACAAAAGTCTTCCTGCCCCCAGTGGTGCTCACCTGTTAGTTATCTCCTCAGCCTCCAGACTCTTTTCCTGGAGGTGAAAGTGAGGTTTTTCCTTTGAGAAAGTCACTTTCTCCAGTTCTTCCTCATGTGCTATCACAGTGCCCGCTCTGCCCCTGATGGGAGGCTCAGACCACGACTGATAACCAGCATGTGTGTCTGACCCCACTGTCTCCAGGTTGGGGTGGAACATGAGCCCGTATGACCCCCTGAGAGCAAGTACTAGATTTTTGTGGAAATTCTCTGGAGGACTGGCTCTGAAGAGATAGTCTAGCAGTGCTTCTTTTATTTTATGACCACACACACACAGAAGAGCCCACAGCTTCCTATGAGTTGAGACTAACACCATGGAAAGTGGCTGGAAGAATGGTATAAACCCAGCCTTGGTGACATCAGCAGAGGCCCCACATCAGCCCTTAAATAAAACCATACCCGCAACTTTGGGACATTTAGTCTGTCAGCCAGTGAATCTCTTTTTATTGCAGAAGTCCAATTTTAGTTGTATTTTTATGTCACCTGCAAATGAAAAAATTCTGAGTTGGCTTCACCTAGAAGATTAACTCAGAAATTTTAGAAAACACCCTTAGGCTAATTTCTGTTTCTGCTTGAGGATGACAGGAAAGTATGTGCCATTAGTTCTCCATTCTGTCCTTATTCCTCGTGCTGCTACCTGTCTCCTTTGACTCTGGACAAGAAGAAGAAGAAAAAAGGATTTTTGTTAATACAGAAAATACCAAAGATACTATCATTCATAGCAGATCATCTCCCTAGAGTGACACGAGATTTCCTTTTGGGTAAACCACACTGTGAGGTGTGTGGGTGGGGGTGGGGAGAGAACTGGTGCAGCACCGCCTTCAGCGGTCACAGCTCTTACTACCTTTTGCTCATCAATTCTCTGCAAGATGCTAGTGACACGAGCATCACCATTTCCTGACAGGACATCCCCGCAAAAGAACCACGTTAACAAAGTGTGGCTTCCTTTCCCATAAGGCCGCTTTTTAAAATACTTTAACCTTTTCAGAGCACTGCTTCTACAATATGGCTAAATGTTGTTTTTACCTTCTCTGTGATGAATACGTATCTTAAACACTATCATAAGCTAGCTACAGAAAAGAAACAAATTGTTCCATAGCATAATTAAAAAAAAAAAAAAATCGTACTGGTAATCTCAGGGAAGTGTCTGTGTTCATCCACTGTTGACCTTGCTCTACCATGTTTTTTATTGTAATTCTCGACCTGATAAACAGTAACTGTTAAATCAATGGTTGCTTTACTGTATCCTTACCTGGCTTGCACATTGTTTCCTGAAAAAGCTCGATTTCCACATTGCCCATCTACTTTAGCACAGTGGTTACAAAGGCAGTAATTACTTGGTGCTACTCAGTTTCTTCTTTGCTTTCATTTTCTCCAGTGGCCCAGTGGGGGGCATGGTAAAACCACCAGTGTTTACTAGTTTGTCCCGGCTTTTGGAAATTGTGAAGAATAAACACAGCCAGTTTCTTTGCAGATGTAGTTAGCCAAACATATATAGCGGGTTTAACTTTTCCAAGCATGTTTATCATAGGTTGGTGATTTTGTTCTCTTTAGAGGATATTTGACCCAGAGTTAGGAGCAGGGAGTTTTTATGAGGGTGGAAGGTGGACACAGAGAGTGAAAACCTTCCTAGTTCTTGAAGAATTTAAGAGGTACTTTCTGAGTTTTTCCTAAAATCTGAGGAGGTCCCAGAGCATATGAAATACTAATTTTGAAAAAGTGGCAAATAAAAGTTTTAATTCTCTATGTAACTGTCTTTGTAGTTTTTTTTTAACTTTTATTTTTTTAATACTTGTTTATTTTTGAGAGAGAGACAGAGTGCAAGTGGGGGAGGGGAAGAGAGAGAGAGAGAGACAGAGACAGACAGATACACAGATCTGAAGCAGGCTCCAGGCTCCGAGCTGTCATCACAGAGCCCGACGCGGGCCTTGAACTTATGAACTGTGAGATCATGACCTGAGCCAAAGTCAGACGCTTAACCGACTGAGCTGCCCAGGTGCCCCTGTCTTCCTTTCTTCATGTGTAATTGAGCATATTAAAGAAACCACCCATGTCTTGACTGTGAAATAATTTGGCATTGTTTTTCATACCTTAGGTTTTAAGGAAAAAATCCTGATACTATTGAAAATATTTTTATTAGTACGTATACAGTAAAGCAAAAAAGTATATATACATGGCTTACAAAAATGTTTGAGAATAACATTTGGAAGATGGCCTGGATGTCTTCTAGGCAGTTAAGAGCAGAGAAAGAATTTAGTTTTGGTAACTCACAAGCCAGCAACCATATCCCTTATCTACATACTTTAAATCCATCTCCTTTTCAGAAAATGTCACAAATTTTCATTTTATGTGTAATTTCTCACTCAAAATTACAAATTTTAGATTTTCCTTTTTTTCAAGTCCAGTTGCTTTCAAAGAAAACTGTTTACCCTGTCCCTCGATGTATGTGTGTATGTGCATGCTGTGTGTGTGTGTGTGTTTGTGTGTTTGTCCTGGGCATCATTTTTTTTTTCCTCCATAGCATTCGATAGGGAAAGTTGCTGGCAACATATACCAATAGCCAGTTTCCTTCAATAGAGTCCACTTAAAAATATTTTAACACCAGAAATGCATGCTCAAGACGTAGCTTAATAAGTCTTGATACAAAACATTCAGAATGTATCTTATTATCATCTTCAAAATGTTATCAAAGTGTTACATTTTGTTTTTACTGCAAAGAACAGAATTTATATCAACTTCCCTTTGAAATGCTAGGAGATAAATCAGTAGGGAATTTCCTAAGTGAAATCAGAGAAAATTTGACTTTTTCACTCCAAACAGGTCTCCAGTTCTTTATCAAACTCTGCCTGCTTTTAGGTTGGTCTTTAGTAACCCTGGTGAAAAAAAACCACATAAGTTAAATTCTTGTCTTTAGAGAAGGAACATGCCCCAGTGAATTGTCTTGATTGCTTCCTATTTTCTTTATGGTATTTAAACTTCTACATTAACTGACGAGACGAGTGATTATACATTGAAAACTTGTGTTTTGATGGAATAAAATTGAACAATGCATGTATTACTTTTTTCTTTGCTGTTACAAAAGCAGGGGAACTTATATTTTGTTTTTATTATTATACTAAATTGAATAGTAATGCATAGAGATGATACTTAGTTGCATGGACATGTTTCTTTTGTATTCGTATGTAACTGAAGATTGCAAAATATGTACATGGATTCTTTTTGAAAGGAGGTGGGAATTCACAGAGTGTCTGTGCTTTCATGCATTGTATTTCCTCTTTTGGTTTTAGAAGTTTCTGAGTCAGACTGAGCTTTTAATGGGATGTGCAGTTTCTTACATAAGATTTCTCTAAACGGCTGGCATAGAAAGAAATAAATAATAGGGTCTAGGCATACATTTGCAGCTGACAGTACTAGAGTGAATTCTTTTACGTAGAGCAAAATTTCTTTTGACCGGCAGCTGTAATGAGCTTCTGTCTGGCTCTGCGTGTAGGGGATTCTGGCAATGTGGTAAGGCACAAAACAGACAAAAAATACGAACATGATGCTGAATATATTGCGGCTAGATTTCTTCTTGACCGAAATGGAATTCCTTCTGGATTTCAGGTGGGACTTAAAGATTTTCCTCGTGATAGCAGTGTAGAAAATGACCAACAAAAGAAACACAATCCAGAAGATGCCCACAAAGATGTAGTTTGATGCCTTGTGCCACTTAAGTCCCAGTTCGTTTTTAAGCTCTACACATTTTATATGCGTAGCCTTCCCATGCCTCGCTTTCTGGTTGGTCAGGATAATGTTGGGGACAGCCAGAAGGAGCATGAGCACCCACACCGTGACTGACAGAAGTTTGCTGTAATTTACTGAATGGATGAAAGAAGTCAAAAGAGGCTTTACAATTTTATAATACCTGTCAAAGCTGATGAGCCCAAAGAACACGATGCTGACATACATGTTGACGTAGAACAGTACAGCTGAGACCCTGCACACGAACACGTTTATCTGCCAGGGTCCCAGGCCCGAATCCCCAAGAATCTTGAAGGGAAAAGTCAGGCTCATCAGAAAGTCAGCCACAACAATGTTCTTGAGATAGACGATGAAACTCTTGGAGCTGGACACGTAAAAGAATATCCATGCAGAGACACCATTGAGCAGGATCCCCGCGACAAAGACCGCCAAGTATAGCACGGGAATGATACTCTGAGTTATGAGGGTGTTCCGGGAGCAGGCCTCGTTCGGAGGTTGTGTGGTGGTGGAATTTATCATTCTGTAACTTCTGCAGGGGAGGCCTGGAAAGCAATGTGAAGTAGTCACTCAGAAGGGACTTACAGCATCTAATAAATAATTTGGCAAATAATAAAGGCCAGTGGATATAGTCAAACCTGTTGTGTTCTTGAAATTAAGTGTTAGCTCTGCATCAGACACGCCTTCCTCGTTCCCTCCTTCCCTTCTTCTCTACTTTCCTTTTAGAAAGGGAAGACTAGAGTATACAGATGACAGGAAAGAAAAATGGGAGAAGCAGGACAGTCTGAGAACTGTAGGTAATGGGATCAACGTTCCCCCAAAATGGTAAAAGTTCCTTTTAAAACTCCAAAGTTCGAGAAAGTACTCATTTAAATAAAGGCTCAAAAAATAACAAAACTGAGGCGCCTGGACGGTTGAGTAGGATAAGCATCCAGCTTTGGCCCAGGTCATGATCTTTTTGAGCCCCGCATCGGGCTCTGTGCTGATGGCTCAGAGCCTGGAGCCTGCTTTGGATTCTGTGCCTCCCTCTCTCTTTGCTCCTCCCCCACTTGCATTCTGTCTCTGTCTCTCTCCCTCTCCTTCTCTCTTAAAAGTAAATAAACATTAAAAAAATTAAAGTAACAAAACTGTAAAG